AAATTCTAGTTTACTAAATATTTTCCCATTTAAAAATAGCCATTAAAAAATTCTTTTACTGAATATTTTCCCATTTAAAAAAATCCCATCGAAAGTCAGGTAAAGAAATTTTGTAAAATTTATTTTTTGGTTATCAAATACTAATTCTACAAATGTTAGAATTTTTTCTCACTTTAAAAAACAAGAACGGTAAACGATTTTTAATGGGAATTCGACTTCCAAAGAGTTTGAAAGAAATGTTAATTGGGCCTCTCAAAAGGCTATGTTGTATAAAGAGCTGATTTTACTCCTTCTGAGAAAGAAAAATTCCAAGAGTTGGAAAAAAAAGTCTTACAAAAAAGGAAAATGTGTTTTTTTTTGTTATAAAAGGAAAGATTAGTTAATATTTGGTGAACAAAAATTATAATTGAAAGTGTCCTACGTTCTAATTTTCTAAGGCATCATTTTTACTTCCCTTTCTTCAAATTGTCCTTCTCAATTATTTGACCTTATCTATAATCAATCCTATCTTAACCCAAATTAGGAAAACAGGAATGGAAAAGAGCAAGGAAGACAAAACAGAGAAAAAGGAGAATGACTACAGGGGATCCTGGAAACAATTGAAGGGAGACAATTAGAATAGAGATGAGCATTGGCAATGAGAAACTGAGAGCAGAACATTAAGAAGGAATTGCGGCTGGAAAGGGAAGGAGGAAGAAATGCAGGTAGAGAGTGAGAAATAGAGTAGGAGAGACAAGGTTGAGAGAAAGAGAGTAAGCAAGTGAGCAAAGAAAGGTGAAAAGAAGAAAAGAGAGAAAAGGTAATTAAAAAGAAATAAAAGGGGCTGGCCCCGTGGCTTAGCGGTTAAGTGCGTGCGCTCTGCTACTGGTAGCCTGGGTTCGGATCCCGGGCGCGCACCGACGCACCGCTTGTCTGGCCATGCTGAGGCCGCGTCCCACATACAGCAACTAGAAGGATGTGCAACTATGACATACAACTATCTACTAGGGCTTTGGGGGAAAAATAAATAAATAAAATTATATTAAAAAAAAAAAGAAATAAAAGGGGCTGGCCCCGTGGCACAAGTGGTTGGGTGCGTGCACTTCGCTGCGGCGGCCTGGGGTTCGCAGGTTCGGATCCCAGGTGCACACCGACGCACCACTTGGTAAGCCACGATGCGGTGGCGTCCCATATAAAGTAGAGGAAGATGGGCACGGTTGTTAGCTCAGGGCCACTCTTCCTCAAGAAATAAAGGGGAGGATTGGCATCGGATGTTAGCTCAGGGCTAGTCCTCCTCATGAAAAAAAAAAAAGAAATAAAAATCCAAATTGAAGTTTGCTCATTTGCTATATAAACTTAACAAAGCTTAGAATAATATGACAAATGTAGTCTATATATAAGTAAGTTTTCAAAAAACAAACATGTGTCCTTTCATGGTAATAAGAGCTCTTATACTAAGACTTCAATTCAGAAGTCCTAGCCTGAACTCTGGTGTGAAACTAGATACAGAGATCAGAACTAGCCCAGATGTAGAGTCTAGTATAGTCATGTGGCGCTTAATGATGGGAACACATTCTGAGAAATGCATCGTTAGGCGATTTCGTTGCTGTGTGAACATCACAGAGTATACTTACACAAACCTAGATGTTGTAGCCACCACACACCTAGTCTGTATGGTATTAATCTTATGGGACTACTGTCATATATGCAGTCCCTCATTGACCAAAATGTTGTATTGCAATGCATGACTGTATATTTAATAACTTGATGTATGATTTAAAAAATCACAAATCAGTGGGTATGTGATAGATTCTTTATTAAATGATCCAGGAATATTAGGTAACTGTTTATAAAAATATAAAATTAATATTTAAATCCTAAGAAAAATATTAGATCCAAAAAAGTCCCCCAAAAAACTTCAATATGTCAAAAAGGGGACATAAACTACCGAGAAAGCATTTGCAACAAACTGATAAGGACTAATGTCCTTAATATTTAAACAACCCAATAAAAAAAAACCTAAGATCACCTCCAATAGAAAATGAATAAAGGACATAAGTAGACAATAGAAAATGAAAATGGCTAGTGTTCATATGAAAAAATATTCACTTGTGCTAGAAATTTTTAAAAGAAGTAAATTAAAATATAAATGCAATTTTCATTTAAGAAACAGAATGATTAAAAATGATAATATTCAAGGTTGACAAGCTCTAGTGAGATATGTACACTTAAAACATTGCTGGTAGTAATATAAAATAGTATAACCTTTCTGGAGGACAATTCGGAATGATGTACCAAATATTTTAAGAGGAAATACACTCTTTGACTTAATGAAATCAGAAATACAGACAAAGATTTGGGTAAAAGGATATTCTTCCCAGTTATTTATAATAGCAGTCTATTGGCAAATGGTTACGCAATTATAGAATTTATTTTTGGGTGTGCTATGAAGTAGAAATTTAATTGAATTTTTTCCCATGTGGCTAATAATGACCCAGCATCATTTTCTGACTAGTTCAACCTTTCCCCAGTGCTATAAGACTATGCCTCTGTTTCCACATCCGCAGTAGTCTGTTTCTAGGCATTCCCTTCTCTTCCACTCGTCTCTTTATCACCCAGCTTAATATCACACAGACTTAACGGCACAATTTTAGAACGAGTCTTGATATTGGGTAGAACAAGTTTCTCTGCTTTCTTCTTGTTTCAAAACCATTGGGCTGTTTCCCCTCCCACCTTTCTTACTCCATACACATTTTAGAAACAGCTTATTGAGGTTTCCCCAAGATCTTTTTGAGATTTTGAATAGAATTGAATTTAAAGATGCATTTGAGAGAAATGACATCTTTTAGACATTTAGACTTTCTGTCTAAGAACATGATATAGGTCTTCATTTATTTAAGTATTCTTGTATGTGTATGCATATATCTATATATCTATATCTATAGCCAATGGACTCATACAACTTTTGTTATATTTATTCCTTACAGGAATCTTATTATTTTATTGCTATTCTAAATGGCATCTTAAAGATTTAACTTTCTGTTTTTGGCTAGTATAGAGAAATGCAACTGATTTTTGTGTACTGATCTTATATCTAGCAACTTAGAGAAACTTTTAATCTGTTTCCTTCCTGATGGCCCACTTTCCTCTCTATTAGGGGGATATCCGAGAACTCTGGGCTGTGAAAACTCTCAGGCATCATTCGGAATATGAGTGTGAGTTGGGAAGAAGGCAGACAGGTGGGTCACCCATCCCCTCCTGACTCCAGCAATAATGAGACATGGAGGAATCTCCTCTGAAGTGGTGCCCATCTCCGTGCGGGAGCCCTTGTCTCTCTGAGGTGACTGCTCAGGCCTTACAAACTATTATTGTCTTCAGTTTGGGAGCTGGTTCTTTCTAAGCCTTCAGATTTTAGCCTACCTGTCACCTCTTCACTGACTACCCGATTGGCACCTGCCAACCCTCATCTCTGCCTGCCCTTATTCTCTACTACAGAAGCCCATTCATGCCCTCCAGTAGGTGATGATCACACCTTATGAGTGTTTGTTTGGTAATATTCCTGTTTACTGCCTGTTCTCCCCATCAATTGCAAGCTTCATAAAGGCAGGGGCCAGGTCTGTTGTTCTGTATTCCTGGCACCTGCCACTAAGCTCAATAAATATTTATAGACTGAGTGAATGAGTTAAATATGTCAAACATCTGTTTCAATTTTTAATGTTAACAATACACTGTATCATAATTTAAAATATATTTTACTTGTATAATTTTATTTTATCTCCATAACTGCCTTTAAAATAGGCATTACTAGTCCCCATTTGACACAAGAGGTAACTAAGGCACAAGGAAATAAGTAACATGGTCCAAATTAATAGCTAGAAATCAATAGAGTTGAAAACAGAACCCAAATAACCTAACTCAAAATCTAATTAAAAAACCATATAAAAAAAGAAAAAGAGAAAGAGACGAGGGAGGGAGGGAAGGCAAGACAAAGGTAGAATGGAGAAAGTTCTTTCATTCCTAAACTTTCCATGTCAAGGGCATATTGTACTATTTATTCTGCTAAGGACTCCTTAAATCTCGTAGAGGAAGCCTTTTACGAAACCTCATACCTCTCTAAGACATTTCATGGCCAGGAGACAGATTAAGAATACTTTCAAGCAACACTGTTCTACATGAATCATACAGAGTGGAAAATAAAGGAGTTTGCAGTAATAGGATAAGTCTCTTTTTCTCTGCTACATTTCACCAGCATAAAACTTGCTGGTGAAGTCAGGACACATAATCGAGTCTGATAATTGTAAGAAGTACTTAGAACATGATTTAGTTTCAATTTCAGGTTCCAATTCATTCTCTCATAATTTTTCTACCTTAGTCAACATTACACAAAACTCCGGCTCTCTCTTAACATTTAAAAGCCAGAGGAGAACATCTTCCCAGTTTTATCATAATGCTGGGGGTGGGACCAGTTACTTTTACCGGAATCATTATCTAAAGAAAGAATACGGCACTCAACTTCTCGTTTTAATCGATGACACTCTATGTCCCCCTCCTTTTGTTGTTCTTAAGTCTGATGATAAAACGATTGGTAGTTTCTGTGAATTCTGATTAGCTGGCTTCATATTGCGAAGTTATAAGAAGGAAAGGAATCCCCTACTTTCCCAGTCTGCACGTCGTAAAAGAAAAAGCATCAGCTCCCAAGTTAATAACACTATTTTTGTGATTTAGAGGGAAAAATACTTCTTTCCTGCCAAAAGGTAATCCACACATAAGAGCTGATTACTGGTGAAACACTGTCAGAATGAGACCTCATTAAAGAACCTATCGACACGAGGACTCCAAATGGCTGCAAAGTACCACTCACCTCTTCCTGAACCCCAACAGATTAATGATACAGTATTGATGAGACTCTGTCCACCAGAGGAGGACATAACGGTTCATTCTTAATCCAAAGTGGTGTTATCAGGGATGGACAGTGACACGTTCCAGAGCTTAGGGATCACAACCTCAGGACCCCGACGTACCCATTACTGAGACATCATATTCTATCAGCAGCGTTGCTTCCTGGCCACACTGTTTAAGAATACTCATGGCTTCAGCATGCGTGGTTCCAAGAAGCCGAATTCCATCCACACTGAGCAACCTATCGCCAGGTTTGATAGTGCCCTCTCTGCAGGAATAAAGGAACAGTCTTTATTAATTTGGCATAATGGGGTTTAGCAGTAATAGTCACTTAGCCAAAGTGGTTCTTTCACACACGTGCTGCCATCCATCTCATTTGCATTTCCTTTTTCCCATCAAGTGTGACAGTAAGAGAGTAAAGAGGGAACCAGAACAGACAATTGCCGATGAAAATCAGTAATAAGACAATAGATACACATTAGCAAATAACCAAACTACCCACAATTAACTTTTGGGGTACAAAAGTAACAAAAGCATATTTACCCTTTTCTAGGGTTTTGCCTAAATGTCTAAAATTGATTTATTAGAGCCCAGGAAATAGCATTTAACTCTTTTCCCAAAGCCAGGTGAGCAGAGAAGCCTGTTGATTCCATTCAATTTATTACCAGCAAACCCAAGTGGGTTAGGAAGTGCTGGTGAAAAATTTCCCTAGTCTGTAAATTTTCCTACTGATTTGTAAGGCCATTTGGCAATCATTAAGTTGATTCAGTCTCACGTTCCCTGGAAGAGACAGGCAAAGTCTAGGCTCCCTGCTATGACCACAGACACTCAGGGTGTTGAGAGAAGATGCCTCAGGACGTTACTAACACCACTAAGGTGCAGCCAGGGAAGCTTCCAGATTATAACCCTCCTGCCTCAGGGAGGGTCACAGAGATGAGAAAATTAAATGGGGGATTACACCTGAGGGATTTGGAAAGAATAAAAATGATCTTAAATATCCTTCACCTAGGTAATTCTGTAAGCAATTTGACTCTAAATTTTTATCTTAAATTCTTAGATTTCCTTTCATCCTACATTAATTTGGTAATATGTCACTCACAAACTAGTAGTCTGCTTCTGACATTTCTGTTAACTTCAACTCCAAACGTTCACAGGAAATGGAAATATTCTCACTTACTTCAGGAAGAATAATTCACAAGGGAAGCACGAGAGGGGAAAAAGACAAAATTTCCCTGGAAACTGTGACTTTGCATTGTCCTCTGCAAAGGCAAATATGCTTTAGCACAGGTGAGAGACCAGTGTCTTCATATTATCTGATTTTATATTAGACATCACCTTTTTAAAAAAGTGAGCTCACAGTATGAGCTTTGAAGGAAAATAAACCCAAGTTCCTATCCTAGTTCTTCTGGGCACTAGCTGGCAAGTCATTTAACCAGACTGGCCTCGGTTTTGTCACCTATGAATGTGGATAACAATACCTCATTAAGTGGGTGGCTGCAAGGATAAAATAAGATAAAGTCTGCCGAGCACTTAGCACATTTCCCAGCTCATGGAATATGCTCAAGAAATAGTATTTATTATTATTATTATTTCTGTTGCTTAAGAAAAGGTTTTAAAAATTCATCCCGGTCTGAAACATAGTGCAGAGTCAGGGGTAAACAGTGCATTTTCCTCCTACCCTTCAACGATATCTGAGGGCAGGAGTTGTGGTCCCCACCATTACGAAGTCGACTTTTGCTGTGGGAAATTAATACAAAGATAAGTATCTCCTCAGACTTCTAAGTTTGGAGTTTATCTGGGACCCCAATGTTTATGATAGGAAAGCTGAAGGAGAAGCCCTTCAGGTATTCAAATTAGCAAAGAAGAGAAAGCTCTAGACATGACAATATTCCTTCCTTTTTACTAAAAGTCACTTCCATTCTGACATGCATAATCATCATCAAAAGGTAATCATAATAATGATAAGGATGTCGATAATAGTGAGAATCAGAACACCACCACCTATCTTTCCAGGTTAGGAGAACAGCAATTGGAGACAATGCCTTTCAAGGGCCTGCCTTAAAAGAGCCAGTTGCCTTTTATTAAGTGCCTTCCAGTATGATAGGCCCATATTTCTCCAACCTTTGATAAAATTGAACAACCCTGAAAGGTGGGTATTATTATCTACATTTTACCATGGAGGGAACAGAGCTCAGAATTGTTAAGTCACTTGCCAAAGACACAGGGTAGTTAAGGATAGAATCTGGAGTCAAACCTTGTTTCTTCTGATTCCACAGCCTAGACTCTTTCAGTTTTCACTGTCTAACATATTTACTGAGTATCTACCTTTTACTATGAAATTTGTAACTCATCAACTTCTATGCCAAAGTCCCTGTTTATTTAATCTATTTGAATGCCATTTGGATAATGACACAGAAAGATGGAGTTTACCTGTCAGCAGGCCCTCCTGGACGAACACATGTTATCACAACTGGTCGAGATTTATTTCTGTCATCGTGTGCTCCCCCTAGCAAAGGAAAGAAATACAGCTTAAACAATTCTTTCATGAAAAATTCACTTACAAAATGCCAGCTGAGAAACTGAAGTACATTTTGTTGATGTGTGGAGGAAAACATGCAAAATTTTCCTTCTGGCATACAATAGCCTTAAAAATCTTATTCATTTTATGTAGAATATGTTTCTGAAGTCACCATTTCTCCACCTCTCCATAAATATATGACTGTCATCAGGGATGACACATAAAATGTTTAGCAGGTGTGACAAGAGTATCAACTAATGATGAGTTGAAGAGCTGCCAGTTATAAACAAAGTACAGGTGGGTACGTCTGGTGCCAATTAACCTGGGCTATAACACAGGAGAGTGGGTCTACAACCTGACATAAAGGAAGCAAAAAAATTAAAACAAAAAATCCAAGTATTAAAAAAAGAAAGAGAAAAAAATTCAAGCAGCTGAAGTGGCCTCCGTTAAAATTGGGGTGTTCAAAAGTTTTGGGCAAATTTGACAGACTATGTCAAGCCAATTGCAGTGCTTAGATGGGAATTCTAATTTTGTATAAGGAAAATTTCTCCTCAAGAATTCTTAGAAACATAGAAACTTTGAGATGGAAGGTAATTTATTATAAATTCTCTTTTTAATCCAGGACCCCTTTGTACAACCTCTTGAATCTGTGCTCCCTCAGCCTCTACTTTCGATCCACCATTGACCCACTTAGATTCGAGGCAGCCCATCCCACCTTTGGACACCTAGGGGCATGTTCGAAGGTTCTTCCTAACATTCAGCTGATACCCATCTTCCTTCAACTTTCATCCACTGGTCATTGTTCTATTATCTAGAGCAGTGAAACAAAAATGTAAGCTCCCTTCTACAACAAAGTTGAAAAGAGTGATTATGCACCTGCTAAGTCTCATCTTCTTAAGGCTGAACACTTCTAGTTTCTTAACTACTCTTCATGTGACCTGATTTCCTCATACATCACCATCCTGGCTGCCCTCTGGGTGGTCTCTAGTTTCCCAGTATCTGATAAATATGAATGTTACTGTCAAGTATTCCTTCCTTAATGATTGCCTGGTAGAACAGGCTGACATTCCCCCCACTTGGCACAGGCAGAGGGGTCACCTTAAAGAACCCAGCCTACGAGAAGAAAGAAAAGGCATTCACTGTTCTTGATGAAGCAAACGCTTCCTTTCTGCTCACTTCTATTACCAGTGATTTACTCAGTCTGGCTGATTGGTAAAAGCTCCATTTCAATGTTTTATTCTTTGATTCAGTTTGATGGCTTCTTTTAAAATTCCTCCTTGCTTAAAATAGGAAATTCACAACTTTCTCAGAAAAAAATTTTTAAAATGAAAATCATGACAATAAGTTAGAGCACTTGCTCACCCGTATTTATATAAATACCATTACGTAACTTCTCTTTTGCAAGGTGATCATGAAAAAGATAGGTTTGCCGTCCCCTTTTTAGAAAAGGATTGGGGCAGAAGACAGCAAGAAACTTTCCATAACTTTGGTTTGGAGTTCTAAATTTAAATATATAACAATGAGTGCATGTTAAGGTGTAAGAAAGAGAGCTCTTGATATGTGACATTTTATCATTATCTGAAACAATGAGCCAAGCTTAGTTTGTGATTCACTTAGGTTCTAGAAGTTTGGAACTGCAAAGCAAAACAGAGCCCACTCAGAGACCAGTGGTATCTCAATCCTGCTGCACATTAGCATCACCCACCTGGGATGCTTTTTTAAGCATATCAACGCCAGGGCCACAATGCAGACCAACTCTGAATATGGAGCTTCATATGGTAAATAAGCAGACCTACCTATAGTTTTATTGTGGAGAATGACCAGATAAAGTTTCCTTGTCCAAAGTGAAAAGCAACTGAGTGGCAGAGGGCCTTTCTATTAGCCCAAGCCATCTTAGCTTGGTGGCAAGGGAATTAACTGAAATTTAACTCTCTGAGATTTAGGCCAGAACATCATTTTTCATTCTGTGGGTGCAAGGTTCTATTGTTTGGAGAGTCAAGGTTTTAGGGCCTGTGACATACAGCAGTAGAAATATAATTTCATTCATCAGCTAAAGCCTGTTTTATTGTTCCAAGACCCATTCTAACGGGTTAAGAAGAAATTTTCCAGTACTAAATGAACATGCTTCATCTTCAATATCTTCCCCTCCTTCCTCAATGTCCTGGTATTCTCCATGGATCTAAGTTTAGCTCAAATCCCATCTATGCCACTGTAATGTCTTATCTGCCATGGTAACATTTACTCATAGTACTTTATCATTCTGCAACTCTTTTTGTAATTAACCAGTGATTCTTAAGGGATGGGTGGTGGCCACCTTTTGAGCAAAGAAGGGCTCAATTACTGTTTTAATAATTTTGACTCTAGTGAAGTTCAAAATATAATAGGTAAAAATAAAAAAATCAAGTAATGTTCAAAAATTCCTGATGCTTATCTAGTTCCCTATTGAACCTCATTGTTATCCTAGGAATTATGAGTTGTTAATGTATGTGTAGTCTTTCAGATACAAAATTGCTAATAAGAAAAACAAAATATTAAAAGCCAGAATTACAGCTCAGAATCAATGGTTTTATAGGCAAGTTGGAGTCACCTGAAATCTTTATTATTAATGTCATCCCATAATAAGATGAGTTGAGCAGAGGCACACAGGTGCCTAAGAGATTAGATTATCTTCAATCTATTTTTAGAAAGCTACAAAAACAAAATGTATTTCTGGAGAAAATAATTTAAGCAAAGTTTCTTAATCCTAGTGCATTAACCAAATCAAGGCATACTCATCAACATTTTAACTCAGTGATAGAGAAAAGAGAAGGCAAAGGCGTTTTGACAAGTGGCAAGTCAGTAGGATGAGAACTGACAAGGTTTACACACAGTGGCTTCTTGCTCTCTGTTAACGGACTGAAAACAAAGCCTGGTCATTGGGATTCTACCTTGATTCTCACTCATTGCTTTATTTCCTTAAAGATGAGTGGCAGCAAATATTATAAGGTGACTTTAGACACTGCAAATATCAGTTTTTTGAGGATGACTTTCTAGTTCACTCCTAATATTTCATTGACAAATTCTCCAAGAATATCTGATGGTTCATATTTTCTAACCACCACCTACCTCGTATCACAAAACCAAAGGTATTGCCTTCTTTATGTAATGTGACCTCCACCGTCCGGAAAATAACACTTGATCCTTGAACAGCTGAATGCAGGAAAGAGAGAGGGAAATATGTCTTAAATGATAATAACATTTCTAAGTTCTAAGATCCCTGTTGCAAATAATTCTTGTTTTGAGTAATAAAAAAGTAATAATTTCCTTTCAAAGAAAATGTCAGAAAAAATAATTGGAATGACACACAAATACCATAAAATAGTCATCTGCATAAGTGACTCATATAGGTCCAAGTGGAATCAAAATCATAGGTACTTCCTTTTCTCCTGTGCAGCCAGTTTCTAGACAGAGCCTACTAGTCACATTGTTAAAACTCTACATAATAAGAGAGACAATCTTCATATGATAAATAGAATTGTTTTCCCTTTGTAAAATGCAAAAACAATATGATTTTTGTAAAACTTATGAAATAATTAATGTATTTATATTTATTTTTGCAGCTAGCACTGGAAGAAAAAGTATTACTCTCAGATTGCCATTAATAGACTAGGCGGATGCAAATAAATTTTCTGACATAATACATAGCAATTAAACCAAGACAACAGCAACCCAATGAAGCTTGGAGGGCAAAAGAAATTCTAAGTACGCTCAAAATATTACTACTGACTAATAAAATAAAGAACTACTTAATTTTATCAATACCATCGTGCTTACGTTGTGTTTGTCGCTTATTGCTCTCGTTTCACAAAATGAAACTGCACTGCCAAGTTGCAATCTCTAACTATATTACACACAGTATGAGGGTATAAGCTGTATAAAAGTATAGTCACTAAAATATCCTGTGAGACTGCTTTTGAGAAACTGGTGAGTAATTCTGGTTGTACAGTACACTATTGCTGAATTTAAAAAAACCAAAATTTCCCCAAATTAATATTTTATCATTATGGATACAAGCCTGTTTTTATTCATGAAGATAGAAACGTCTGCAAACTGAAGCAGTTGATGGTCTTAGATCCTGTCTTGAATTTGTACAATGATATCTAATTATCTAACACTATGTTCATTATTAATAACACATTTTTTACATTGTTATTAGATCCTGATAGTTTTATCAGGATCCTGAAGAGTTTATTACATAAAACTATCAACAAGAAATATATAGACAGAATTTAAAGGCATCTTTTAAAAGAACATTTCTTGCCATTTGCAGAAATAAGAAGTAATTTTAATTAAGCATTAATTACAATTATTATTTTATTTTTGGTGAGGAAGATTGGCCTTGAGCTAACATCTGTTGCCAATCTTCCTCTTTTTGCTTGAGGAAGATGGTCCTTGAGCTAACATCTGTGCCAGCCTTCCTCTACTTTGTATGTGGGACGCCACCACAGCATGGCTTGATGAGCGGTGTGTAAGTCTGAGCCCTGGATCTGACCCTGCGAACCCTGGGCTGCCGAAGCAGAGCACGCGAACTTAATGACTACGCCACCGGGCCAGCCCCTAATTCCAATTATTTTTAATTATTGGATATTCCGAATCCTCCAAGGAATGGACGTGATTATGAAAAGTACACAGTGAAATTCACAACAGTACACACATCTGGCTGGGACATGAAGGACAATAAGAACTTGGATCTGCTGGAAAACAACATATACCAGCAGCTGAACAAATGTTTTAGTACACTGCTGATTTAATTAAAGGTCATAGTCTTGCTATCAGGGGAATTTCCGTTTATTCTAATCAACTAGGAACAGTACATACAAATAGCTGAAAGTGTTGAGGTACAGATTTAATTAAATGAAAAAAAGATTGAGTAGAAACCAAACGTTTTCTTATTTCCATGACCCAACAAGCCATTTGAAGAATTGGTTAAGAACATAATCTTTTTACTCTATTGGTAAGGGAAGAAAGGAAAAGATATGGGGAGAAATAATTAATGAGCATCTACTGTGTGCCAGGAACTCTGCAAAATGGTTTACAAATATTATTTCATTTAATCATTAAATCCACTTTCAATTATATACAACCAAATTCTAATTCTGGGCCACCTGTCCTTGTTGGCTGGGTGTCTGTTCTGGGAATGCAAAGCACTGTAATTTTAATTTAGCTTGAACTAAATCTTGCTGACCACAAAAATCTTACAATCAAATCTAAAGTCAATACAAAAGCTTTTGGGATTATCTACAGCTTTAGATTATCCACACTATTGCTGTTCATCATTTACAAAGATAAATGTGAATGTTGACTATATTTTAATATATTTAATGAAATAGATTTGGACTTTATAATTTTTATTTGCACGACTGGCTCTTGGTAACTGCGTTTTCATATTCAACAGCAGGATATCCTGTATTGCCATGTGAATTTTACTCATTACTCACATGTGTGTATGTGGAAATAAAGCTCCAATTAAGGGACTTCCCCGAAGAACCAAATCCCATACACAGAATAGCTAGGTAGAAACCAATATCACAATGCAAAAATACCCCTCAGTAATTTAGCTGCATTGCCGTCCCTTGTTTCCATGTGAGTATGCATGCATTCTTCTATACATGCACATTCATATTATTTTGCTATGGTAGATTAGATTTTTCTAAATTATATATGTCTACTTCCCTGCCTCCCCAACTCCTGCCTTAACAGGAGAATAGGAGTTGTGCACTTTCCCACCTCATTATGTTGGGCTTGCCCCTGTGACTTGCTTTGGCCAACGGGACGTTAAGAGATGCAAGCAGAGGTTGGAAATGTGCTCGTGTGGTTGGGCTTGTCCTGTTTTCCCTCTGCCATTGCCACAGAGGCAGAAGAGCTTTCCCTGGGTAGCTGCTGCTCCTGCAGACTGAATCCCGGCATGAACCATGTGGAAGAGACCTGAGGCTGCTCCCTTTCTCCCTCTCCGTCGTCGTCGTCGTCATCATCATCATCATCATCATCATCATCATCATCATCA